TTTCTACTCCAGTGAGAAGGTACAGTCTCGGAAACCCACAGGGGGTCGCTCTCAGTCAGCACCGAATCCATAGCAGTGAACTTGTTTTTATTTTGGGGGAAATAGACTGACACCCAAATTGGTCCACCAGTTCACATTTCGGGGATGCGCTTCCACCTGTGACCACCAGGGGGCGGGCGCGCAACACAGGCTCTGGTTTTCTTAACTGGGAGGATCAGGAGTGGCTTCCCTTTGGGGACTTTTTTTTTTTTTAAATAAAAAAATCATGTATCTGCGAGGGTGAATATATACATCAAAACGGACACCAACTCTACAGTGCCTACAGGTACCACTCAGTGACACAGACTGAAGTGTTCTTTTTAGCTCTTGAGCATTCAGCTGCTAACCAATACTGAGGTTTGAACCCACAGGTTGCTCCCTGGGAGAAGGATGTGGCTGTGGAGAGTTCTACTAGGTGCTGGGGTGGGGCCGGGGGGCGGGTAGCGGGAGTTGCAATCAGCTTGATGGTGGTGGTGGGTTTGGTTTTAAGGAGATTTCAGGGGAGAGATTGGGTCTGGTTTCCTTTACTGTTTTGTCTGAGGGGCTCCAGGGGATCACTTGGATCTGAGGATCTAATGATGATCCCTGGGAGATTGTCCCTGGGGTTTATCCAGCCTCTGTGACTCCAGAAGTTCTGGATTCTATGAGAAGGGAGCTGGCTTTTTCTAACTGCCGAGTAGCGAGGAGAGCGCATGGACTTGCAGGGCAGATGGGAAGTAGGGAAGGACAGGTGTTTTCAGGTATGTGGGGGTAACCCCAGCCACACTGAGACAGGAGGTGGTGCGTGTGGGGGTGTGAGTGTGTATTCCAATCCTCCAGTCACCTCCAAGTGGGCGGGGGGCACTATTTCCAGCCCTGTTCACCTACAGACGCGTGCCTGCGAATTGGCAGGTGTCGGAGGCTGAGTGCCTGTGACGTACACGCTGGAGGTTGAATGGTGTCTGCGCAGATCCTGGAGTAAAGGTGTCGCTGACCTTTGGGGGGCTCTGAGCGCATGAAGCCTCCGGTTCAACCTGCTCTGACTCGGTCCCAAGTCTGCCAGCAGCCCTCGCTGCCTCACCTACCGGATCTGGGGCCCTGTCTGCTGTGACAGACAGGACTGATTCCCAGGGAAGCTTGTGCCATCTTTTGGTGCTTGACTTACATGACAAATTCTTTGGAGCCAGGAGATGAGAGATGGTTCTGGATGCATCCTGCATCCGCGCCATGGGCTGACCCTGCTCCAAGTACAGAAGGTCCACAGGTGGCTAAATCTGATGGCTGACCTGTGACCAGGAGCCATGGTAGTGCTGGTAGAGTGGCGAGGGGGGAGGGCAGGCAGCTAGCCCCAGTGCGCTCAGCCCTGCGACACCCACACAGGTCCCACAAATTCCAGGTGGCCTCGCCCTGCACTCAGTCATGTCCAGCAGCTGTCTCAAGGTCACAGAGAAGGTCAGCAAAAGAGCAGGGCTTTAAGGTGCCCCTGTAGCCTTTGGGCCAATTGATTCCAATGGCACTGCCCACCAGGGACCCTGTGCAGGTATTCTTGGAATGTGAGCAATAACCCTGGGCAGAGGGGACAGTACACACACACACACACACACACACACACACACACACACATACACACATCGCTCCACCTGGGCGTCTGCAGGCATCTTGCTCCTCTCCAGGGCAGAGGCACCGGTGACCACTTGCCAAGGCTGCCTGGGTCTGGGGCCACCCTCTCCACTCCTGCACCAGAGGGTCCCGGGAGAAAGGAGTGCCCGGTACACAGGTGCAAATGACTCAGGCCGAGACTGGCCCAATAAGGGGCCAGTGGGAAGTTGGCTTTGTCCAGGGTCCGGTCCTTTGGCCTCAAAGCTGTCTGGTGAGATGTCTAAGACTCCAGTGTGAGCTGCCTGTGGAAAACTCGCTCCCCCCGCACCCCCTCCTTCTCTTTAAGGGCTCTGAGCTGGCTCAGAGGGCCCTGCCAGTGCTCTGCCAGGTGGCTGGGTGGGGACAATTTCCTAAGCAGCTCATGGGGAGATTTGTCTCTGTCCTCCCCGGAGGACCCCATGTGGGCACTCACCGAGCTGGGCACCTGCCTCTGGAAGGCTCAGTGAGGAGGAGGATTCCAGGCGGAAAGATTCATACCTCTGCGGAGGGCTGCCGCAGTCCAGCCCTCCTCCCCAGCTGCTGGGGGACAGCCCTGCCAACTGCTAGGATGGGGTGGGGTGGGGGTGAGGATGTCAGAGTAGTCACCAGTGTCACAGACTGCTACCTGGGAAGGTGGAGGGTGGGTGGGACATGCATCCTGACTGTTCTGGGACCCCCTACACTGCTGTGGGTCTGGTGGTGAGAGAAGAAGCAAAGACACTTAGCTCGTGGTTCATCAAGCGTGGATGGTCCTGAAACCAGGAGCCCCCGACGCCACTGCTCATGGGCACTGCTCATGGGCACCCAGAGGTTCTGGGCAGGAAGGTCCTGGTGATCTGCCCCCGGGGAGATCACAGTTCAGGAAACTCAGTGGGGCAGTGTGACTTTGTCACATGGGTGGCCAGGAGTCCAGGATCTGTCGGTTTCTGTGTGGGTAGAGTCGCCCCATTTCTACCATAATGAGCGGGTGGGGGCGTGGGTGTGTGCTCCTGGGGCCGGGTGGAGCAGGAACTGTCAGGAGGGCCAGTGAGCAGCCAGAGCTGTGGCTGGTCGTTTGCCTGCTTAGCCCTCAACACACTTCTCATGTCCTCATCCAGCACCATGCCTAGGCAGTGGGGACCCCCATCACAGCCCACCTCCACCGCCTGCCCTGCCTGTGAGCAAGCTGCTCATGGTCCCATGGGGTGGGGAGGGGGCGCTGTTGAAATCAGATTGTTGCATGGACAATTGAAGGCCACCTGACTAGGGGGTGCCAGGGCAAACGACCAGCTCCGTTGAAGTCCCAGCAGGCTGTCCTGGGAAGGTGACAGGAGCAGGGATTCCAGGTTAGAGTCTGAAGGCAGAACAAAGATGATCGTGGGATGGGGGTGGGGGCGTGGAGAGAGGACTTTCCCTAGAGGGGACAGGTGGCCACTCATCCACATCCAGGCACGCAGCTTCACCGGCGAAGTGCACAAAACTCTGTTGCACAGGGAGGGGCGTGGGGACACAGGTGACTTGAAGGGCACCCATTCGGTCCCTGGCCTGGGAGCCCGGTTGCAAGGTGATCTGAACCTACAAAGGTAGGCGGTGAAGAGAGAAAGCAGGAGCCCCATCCCAAGCGCACCTTGATCCAACCTGGGCACCTCTCCAGGATCCGGCCCTGGGCTGGTCCCCCGGGGGCGGGGGGCGGGGGGCAGGTGCAGCCCTGTGCTCCTGACCTAGACAGCCCACTGGATGACCTTGGGTGGGCCACTTGAGCCCCTGGGCCCCAGTTTTCTGGTTTGGGCGCCTTGATTGGAGAGGGGGCAGGGGCTGTGCATCTGGACACAGGCACAGAGAGGCGCTCTGGGCCCACACTCACGTCCTCCCCGTCGCGGCCCGGCCTTGGCCCTGCGCCCCCCGCCATCCAG